CCCGGTATCACATCCACCTTCCAAATCCACTCTGCCTTCTGAATGCAGGATCTCACAACCACCACCAGCAGCAAGTAACCTCAAGGAGCAACCTCGGGGCTCTCCTCCACTCCTTCGTCTCCACCAACCCGACTGCTACCCCATCCACCACGGCTCCATCCCAACGCGGTGCCTTAGATCAAGCCCTCTTCTCTCCTAGATGTGCTGCCGTGGTCCCCTCATTTGACCTCCCTGCCTCCAGCCTCCAGAGCTTCCAGAACCTCCGTTCCGTCCTGAGATGCTGCCTCGGGACCTCTGTCATTAAAAGTGAAGGCTTTCTGCTTCTACTGCCTGAAGTCCCCGGTCAAATGGTCTGTGTGGAATGACCTTCAGAAGTTGGGCCCCTGCCTGCCTCCTCACTTCACCTCCTACTCTCCCACACCCACCCCTACTCTCCCATCGCCGCGCACAACACCAGGCTCGCTCAGCGCCTTTCCACAGGCTGCTCCATCAGACTCCCGTGCTGTCCCCCCAGTCTCTGCCCGCTTGCCATACCTACTCGGTCCTCTCTCAGCACAGAAGCCACCTCTTCAAGGGCTCCTCCCTCTCCACGCCGGGCACTAGGTGGCTCATTGACATTCCTATCATAGTATCTGCAGGCTACTTCCCACTAGAGGTTTCTCTCTGGATTCCTTTTCCCTTGGTACTCCCAGGGCCTAGCACAACATCTGGTGCTTACTAAACATTCGGGATCTGTAAAATGGCGGAAATAATCCCCAAAGTAACATCAGCTTCCCACTTCTCGGGCTCTCCTCCGTCCCAGCACCACAGCCTTTGTCTGTTCATTCTGTACAATCCTGAACGCTATTTTATCCTCCAAGAAATTTTTTAAAGTATAAAAAAGCTGGGGGCGCCTGGGGGGCTCAGTTAAGTTGAGCTTCCGACTTCCGCTCAGGTCATGATCTCGCAGGTCGTGAGTTCGAGCCCCACATCAGGCTCCTCGCTGACGGTGCGGAACCTGCTTGGGATTCTCTCTCTCTCTCTCTCCCTCCCTCTCTCTCTCAAAATAAATAAATAAACATTTTAGAAAAAGGAGTCTGCTCCCCAAATCTCCCTACTTCATTGCCCAGATCTTGCTTAAGTCTTTTCACTTCCTTAAAAGGCATAAAAGCTGGATAATAACCACAGATGTTAAAACAACACCCGTATTTTGGCAGTCAAAAAAAAAAAAAAAAATCAGGACAAATTATCATTCGTAATACGTTGGTTACGTAACTCAGAGTTCAACAAAGATCTCTGGTACCACTTTCCAGGATTCCGAGTGTTGTCGTTCCGTGTCTTACTGAACCTGAAGACCCACGTGCAGATTAAACTGCCAAATGTTTCTGAGGAGATTAAAAATAATTGCTGTAGGAAATAAAGGATATTTTACCACTCACAGCTTTTTTGTTTCCACTTTTGGCTAACTCCGATTAGTTCTGGGTTATAAAGTACGTCCTCCACGTTCGTGAGTGGTCTATTGCCACCATCGTCTCTCGTGTGTCTTCAGATAACGCTCGCCGCAATCTCTTGCTTGGGAAGTCTTAACTGCCGCTAACGAGGCCAGATCTCTCTCTCCCATGAGTTAGGAAGAAGTGCTGAATGTATTTTCATTCAACCTTCTAATCCTTACGTACTCACCATTCGACCCAGCCACCCCACTACCCCAAAGTCTTTAGGGAAGAGACATAAAACCTGACGTTCAGACAAAAGCCTGCATGCAAATGTTTACAGCAGCCTTATCCACAAGCACCCACAAATGGAAATCACCCTGACGTCCCGCAGCCAGAGAACGGATCAACTGTGATAGGCCCACGTAGCCGTGTCCAAGTTGGCAACAGAAAAGAAGCCAAGTATGGAGATACACCACAGCACGGGTGGCTCTCAAATGCACTTTGCTAAGTGAACGAAGCCGTCCGTGTGGCATTCGAGGGACGGAACACAGCCGCGGCTGCCAGGGGTCGGGGTGGGAAGGGTCGGTCTACCAACGTCCAGCAGGAGGAAAGTTTTGGGGGTGATGGAACCAGTCCCTGAGCCTACTGGTGGCAGACACACAGCGCTATATGCTTGTGCCAAAACCCGTACAACTGTTCGCCACGGGGTAAATTTCGCAGGATGTAAATTTAAAAGTTCTAAAAAGTTAATTATTTAACCACGACTTGGTTAAAGATTATATATAATCAACATAAAGGTGTGGATGTCCTTAATGTTTACCCTGGATGTGGTCACCGTATTGTAGTGATTAGGAAGAGATATCGGGGGAATGAGGAGAGGGCCACCCCAAATCGCCCCCAGATACTTTCGGTTTCCCTCGTATTGGCAACCGTCCCGTGGTCCCCACATCAGGGCAACCTCTGCCCCAGCTGGGAACCAGCTAGATGGGGGTTCTAGCAAGGCTGTGAGGAAGGCTATTCGAAACCAACAGAAGACGGACCCCAGGACGTATTTCAAGGGAAGAAATAAAGGAGGACAGGAGACACAACTCTGAAAATTCTAACTCCTCCCAGTCAAGGGGATACACAGAAAATTCCACGTACAGGTTGGCTCCCTTCGTCCCATAACCCCTTTTCTAAAAAGGAGTCAAAGTGCGTGGGGGCAGGGAATCTCTTTGGGCGAAAGAGAGAGAAGCGAGCCTCTTCTCCTGGACCATGAGGCTGGGGGGCCCTAAAAGCCCCCACTCCGATGTTTCTTAACATAGAAAAACTAATTCGAAGGAAGCAAATGACCAAAATGAAGCTTCAACCACCCCGTGACACTTTCTTTCCAGAGTACCCTCATCAGCCCACACATTCCTCCTCCAGAGGGGATGGCCGTCTGGTCAACCCTGGAGACTGCCGCAGGCCATCCCGACCAGGCTCCAGGTGTGGCTGGCTGCCCGCTTGGTGACCGCGGCGGCGAGGGCACAGGCCCGGCCCCCAGCGTGGGGGCCCCCAGTGTGGGTGCCACCCTGTTCCCTCCTGCCTCTTCCAGGAAAGAAGAGTGCTGTCTGCTCGTTCTCCGCACTCACATTCACGGTCGCGAGCCCAGAAAAGTCTGTTCCTCTTCGGAGACCTGGGCCTGCTACATTGTTATACCTCAGCCAGAGATCGCCACCTGAGACAAACCTCAGTCCACAGATGAGCCCCTGATTGCTGGCTTGGAGAACCAGCTCTCCAGGCTTAAACAGCACTTGCAGCTGGAAAGACTGGCCTAAATGCAAAACAAATGCGATTTTCCAGGAGGCTTGGGGGGGGGGGGGGCGGGAAAGGAGGAGTCACAAAGCTCAAAACCGCGGAGAGAGTAAACCAGAACATTCTGTGACATGCAATGCCCTACAAAAAAAAAGGGCTCTCCCACATACTATCCGGAAACGGCCACTGCGAGGAGAGGAGGAGACGGCTGTCCAAGTGAAATAAAAAAAAAAAATCACGGACTTTCTAAAGACGGGCGTGAGGGCCTAAATTATAAAACAGCTGATTGTATTAAGCTAATTAAGGTTTATCATGTTAGCCATCTGAGTTTTAGCTGGCACCAGAAAGGCAGGAACAGCATATCATGCAACGTGGATTGCGATCTGCTTCGCAAGCAGATTTCCACCACGCTCAGACACAGGACCTCTGGCAGTCGAAAATGATGTCGGGTTGAAAACCAATTTTAGCACAGTGATTTGTGAAGAATTCTGTTCCATCGTGTGAGCTATTTACCGGGATACCAGTCCGAGATTACACGTATCTTTATTAAGCACCACACCGCGCATCTGAGCTAACCATGCCCCGCGTTTCCCTTTCGCCGGTTTTCTCACACCCTGGAGGCTCTGCGATCACATGAAAAAATTCCTAACAATAAAAAACCCTTGCGTGCTTGACACCCTTCACTGCAGATATTCTGCCCACCCACTGCCAGCACACCACTTCCCCATCTTCGGAGATCCTCAGCATTTCAGAAAAGGCGCTCTTCTGCTGAAATGGGAGAGGCACAAGATCCCCTCTTCAAAGTAGGGGAGACATTTCTTTCCAATCCTGCCTTCCGCGAGCGCCTCTTGACTGTACTTCTCCCAAACCAGAAGACAGAACTCCTTCTATCTGTTGCTGACATCGTACTGGAGAGGATTCTGGAGCTGCTGGTTTTTCTGTGTGGGGCAGTTGCAGTCTTTTCACAAGGAACCCCAAGGCAAAAACGTTCAGGGTTCCCCCGGAAGCGCTCACTGTCTTTGTTCTTCATTTGGCTACCCTCGCCCCTGCCTTCTCCCCTCTGCTACTCTCAAACCTCTGGTTTTGGGGGTGCATTAAAATGCCAGCTCGATTCTCACTGCACGCTCTTCAGGCATCAGACATTTTCCACCAGCCACTGCTTATAAAGCTTGGAGTTAACAGGCATCTTTTCACAGATGAAGCCAGACCAGCCGGTTTCCTCCTGGTACTGCATTAGCATTCCACATTAAAATGTATGCCACAAATAATCCAATGGCAAACTCACCGTCCACAGCCCCCAAAATCAATAAAAGCCACTTGACTCGGAGGGAAAAACCTTTCAGGTTAACACAGAGCTCAAGGTAAAAGGAAGGTGATGAATGAACAAAAGGCAAATCAGACTCTTCAAATCCTAAAAACGAGGCGAGGCTGCCTCGATTTGGCCAAGTCCTTCCTTTTTTTTTTTGTCCTCGACGGGATCGCGCTAAATGTGTGCTGCTTTAGTCTTTATGCAAAACACTGCATTCTCCACAAGGCCCTGATGCCTACCATTCTCTAAACTTGCTTCTTTTCCAGGCCTGCCTCTTCTAAAGGACTACCCGCATGCGAGTTAATGAAGTCATTCTGATTTGGTCTGGAGAGCAATACCATCATAAAGTCACTCTAATCCCATTACACTTGGATAACATTAAGAGTATCTCTTCTCCACTCTGAACCCCAAATTCTCTCCAGGGTACCAATCCACTGTCAGTCTGTCTCGGAATGGATCCTCAGATAAATACTTAAATTCATGCTCAAAATATCGTATCTCACCTTGTGAACCTTGACCTTTTGGAAAGACTTTGGCCCAATGTTCAGTTACTGTCACACGGTTGCATTCTCTGCAAATATGAAAGGGTTAAAAGCAGCCCCAGTCAACAGGCCTACAAGGAAAAAAAAGACAGCATGTATGCCTTACAGCATCACTGGAACGCATTTATGCTCATTTCCTAGAACAATATTGTTACCTTTTGGCCTTCATAATAGTCAGAAGTACCCCCAACACCCTTCAGTAGCTTCTAAAAGGAAAAGCACAAAACAGAACATTCCCTGCAAGAGAGAAACAAAAAAAAAAAAAAAAAAAAAAAAAAAAAAAAGGCATGCAAAGTAGCATTCTCCAGCAACAAACAAAACTACCATTACAAACCCATCAGTTCATTTTGGTTTTGTTTTGTTAAAAACACAGAGAAAGAGAGAGAGAGAGAGAGAGAGAGACTGCATACACCAAGAGTCCCCACCCTAGCAAGGCACATTTTTTCTTTAATAAGGGTCATAAATCTCAGCTCCTTGTCCATCCCCTAAGCAAAAGCAAAAGGCAGGAAAAGCCCAAGTTAATCTCAGACCTTGCAAACCTGCACCTTTTCTCCCATCTTCTCTGCACAGAATCTTTTAGGGCTCCATTAGTCACATACCAGTGCTGTGTGGTGTCTAAGTGTGCATTCACATACTGTGTTGGGATGGTACCTTCCTGCAAGGTCCTCTGCTTTTGGCTGCCATGAAGGGAGGAAGCTGCTATCCCACTGTAGTAGCTCAGTGACTGCATTGTGTTCAGGAGCTGATCTGCCTCAAACCAGTTTCAGCCGGTTCTGGTCACCCTACATAAAAAAGCTATGGCAACCCTCCCTGAGTTGCCAACAAGTCCCTGAAAATCATCAGCACGGAGGGGATCTCGCTGGGGGTTGCTCTTCCCTTTTAGGTCTTCGTGAGGAGGGGAAGGTCATCGTGTGTCCCCCCACCGCCGCACAAGCACACAGCCTTGGAAATGCTCGCCTCACAAGCACCCCAGAGCCCCTCGGGGCCCATCCCCCCGGCCCCTCCACCCCAAAGCCCACCGCAGACACTGTTTTCCCCCTCCTTCTCCTTCCCCCACTTACCTCCCACAACCTGGCTCACATCTTTGTGTACCTGTGTGTCAGTGTGTGTTCTCTGTGTTGGTGGCTGACAAAGAGCCCCCAAGAAAGCAATCTATGTGTGCCTCCTCACCCTGGATGCGTCGGCTGCAGGAGCGGCCTCGGCCTCCTAGCAGAGTGGTGCTGGCTTGTTGACCAGGCTCCTCTCTGCCTGTCACCCCCACCCCACCCAGCCCCCTCCTCCCGTCCCTCTCCTCTCTCTCCCAGCCCTGTCACCACCACCACCACCACCACCAGCCGCCCCCCCAGTCTCCTCCTCCTCCTCCAACCTTCTCTTCTTTCAAGCACCTGGGGGGAGAAGTCCAAATCCCTTCACCTCGGGGTAGGAAACTAGGGATGCCTGGGGTGGGGGTGGGGGGGCGCGAGTCAAGGGGCAGTGAGAAAGAGGGGCACAGCGGCCTTTCAGGAATCCTCCGTGAGCCGCCAGCGCTGGAGGAGGGGGTGGGGGGGAAGGAGCGGGCTCCTGCGCTCACGTGGCCCCCCTCTCTGAACCTGTGGGGCCTAGCGAAACCGGCTCGTCCTCGGCCCCCCCAAGGAGGCTGGCGGGGCGCGAAGGCCGCCCCGTCCCCAAGGCCAGGGTGGGACAGGCCACGGCAGTCAGGCCAAGGGGCCTGAGCCTCACGCGCTCGCCCCGGCCCGCAGGGGTGGGCACGAGGGGCCGGCGCGCCCGCCTCTCCCCGCAGCCCACCCGCGCGCCCGGTCCTGCGCTGCCCTCGCCCCCTCGCTCGCCCCCCGCCGCCCC